GTGTAAGATTCTGACACAATATAACGACGCATGTGGCACCAAGCTCATACTGCCCGACGGTAGAGGTAGTGAACAATACAATAAACTCAATTGATTACTGATATTAGCTATGGCATGATGACGGACGGCATTTGATCTCAGATCAAATTATTTCATTAATATTATCGTATCAATCATCGTAGAAACGGCAGCACAACACAATTTTTATCGAATTATTTTACCAATCGTTTCAGAAACTGCAGCACAGGACAATTTTTATCGAATTATTTTTTCAATCATTTCAGAAACTGCAACACAGGATAGACGAGAACGGGTCGGTGCACTGCTTTAACCCACACGCCGCATTCACTAACCGAGATTGGGGGGCTGTACTGGACAGAGAGGCAACGTCCCGTTGACAGCTGTCACGTTGGGGAATTCGAACGCGTCCAAGATCCTCCAGCCGGGTCGCGTGTCTTGTGGATGCATCGTTGCCATGGTTACCAACAGCGTGCCAACTACAAGCAGCAGTACAAGGCAGAGCAGAACGAAGACGACGTTATTGCGACAGTAAAGCAGATACTGTAATGGCTTCTTCAGGGGCAGCGACTGCGTCTGATGCTTGGTAGCGTTCATGGTATCTACTGAGTTTTCTTTACTGACCTTGAAAAACGGGAAGAGGAATGAGTGAGTCGGCAAACGAATCGGTTCATCAGATGTGCGTCTGTGATGTTGCACCAGCGCTGTAATCACTGATAACATATACCGACTGCGATAGTGACATATTGACTGCGTCAATAGCAACGTCAATAATAACGTCAATGACACCGTCGATGACACCGTCAATAACAACGTCAATGACACCGTCAATAACAACGTCAATAACACCGTCAATAACACCGTCAATAACAACGTCAATGACACCGTCAATAACAACGTCAATGACCCCGTCAATAACAACGTCAATGACACCGTCAATGACAGCGTCAATAACAACGTCAATAACACCATCAATGACAGCGTCAATAGCAACGTCAATGACACCGTCAATAACACCGTCAATAACACCGTCAATAACACCGTCAATAACAACGTCAATGACACCGTCAATGACAGCGTCAATAACACCGTCAATGACAGCGTCAATAACAACGTCAATAACACCGTCAATAACAACATCAATAACAACGTCAATG